TTCCTGCCAGCTTGGTGTCGTCTGCAGATTTGATGAGTTCCCCATCTATCCCCTCATCCAAATCATTGATGAAGATGTTGAAGAGCACTGGGCCCAGAACAGAGCCTTGGGGCACCCCACTACACACTTCCCTCCATGTAGATGTGGTTCCATTGAGGACCCCACGCTGAGTGACGTTATGGTGATGTTGGGCCAATCCCCAGGAGACAGCGAGTTCTAGTCCCTCCTTAGTTATGAAAACCATCTTGGTGACTTTGGGCCAATCCCCAGGAGACTGTGAGTTCTAGTCCTGCCTTAGTTATGGTGACTTTGGGCCAATCACTAGGAGACGATAAATTCTAGTCCCACCTTTGGGATGAATACTGGCTGGGTGACTTTGGGCCAATCCCCAGGAGACGGTGAGTTCTAGTCCCGCCTTAGACATGAAGCTCAGCTGGGTGACTTTGAACCAGTCGTGTCCTCTCACCCAACCCACCTCACAGGGTTGTTATTGTTGTTGTGGGGAAAATAGGAAGAGGAAGGACTGCTAGGCGTCATTTGTTAAAAGAATAAAAGTGGGATACTGCTAAACGTGGTGAACAGAAAGCGACGAGGGTGCCCCTCTTTCCTTTCCTCCGGGCAGGATCCGTGACATCCGGCTGTTCATCGTGGACGCCCGGCCGGCTATGGCGGCCACGGGCTTCGTCCTCATGACCACCTTTCCCAACAAGGAGCTTTCGGACGAGGACCAGACCCTGAAGGACGCCAACCTCCTGAACGCCGTCATCGTCCAGCGGTTCGTATAAGGGGAAGCCGCCCGCCGGTCCACATCGCGTCATTCTCTCTGTCTTCGCGTGGTTCACCGCCTCCGCCCCCACCGCCGTGGAAAGGCGGCCACCCAGTGATCACGCCAGTTTTCCACCTCTCGGGTTGCGAATTCCCCTATTTGGGTTTCTTCTCGCTTTAATTTTTTTTTCCCCTTCCTCTTCCTCTTCCTTCTTCTGTGCTGATCCACGGACTTTGACGAAAGAAACGAAATTAACCAAACCGAGACTGTTTTTGTGTTTCCCGGCGTGCCTGCCGGAGCCCCGGCCAGATAATGGAGGCAGTTGGGAAGTTGGGAGCGTGAAGGGAGAGGGGTGTGTGTGGGAGGGGTCGGAATCTCTTCTGGGTCCTGTTTTGGAGTGGGTGCCCCCCCCTCATTCTTCCTTCTCTTTTTGGTGTATTAAAAAAAGTGAACCCCAAACTGGGACTTTTTTTTTTTTTTTCCTCCTACTATCGTCAACCAAATCCTGATTCTCAATCTGGTCAACTTTAAGGTGGGTGGACTGGGGAATTCTGGGAGTTGAAGTCCCCCCACCTTAAAAATGGGCAAGGTTGAGAAACATTGCTATAAAGGGGATGGTCAAGTTTCCCCCTTCCTAAACAGGCTAACATCTGTTCTTCCTTCCTTCCAGCCCTCTTTTTTTTAATCCTCCTTTTTTTTTCTTTCCCTCTATCGTCAACCAAATCCTGTTTCTTAAGCTGGTCAACTTTAAGATGGGTGGATTTCAACTCCCAGAATTCCCCAACTCTGGGAGTGGAAGTCCCCCCACCTTAAAAATGGGCAAGGTTGAGAAACATTGCTATAAAGGGGATGGTCAAGTTTCCCCCTTCCTAAACAGGCTAACATCTGTTCCTCCTTCCTTTCAACCCTCTTTTTTTTTTTTTATCCTCCTTCACCCCCCAAAAAAAGTTTGGGTCGTGACACAACGAGGCTACGCAGGGCTCCGTGGCTGCAGTTTTGCACGTCCGTGCAACACGCAAAGGAATCTTGATGAATTTGGGTCTGGCCTTTGGGCAAAAAGGAGGAGGTTCATTCTTTCATGGGGAGGAGGGGGGGCTTTAGGAAGTTCACAGAGGAGGGGGGGACTATGGTGGGCTGTCTGTCTTGTCTCTCTAACTGGAACCTGGCCGTTTGGAGAATCGGATGCAGTTGCCCGATCTGCCATTCGTGGCAGCATTTTATTTTTTTTATTTTTATTTTTTAAAAATAAATAGTTTTCCTTGTTTTCCTTTGGGGATCATATGCAGTCAATATCCCCTTATAGCCTGGTCTCCCCATAGCTCTTCTTGTCTATGGGGGGGGTCACATTGGGGAGGAAATGGGGGGGGCAGGGGCGGGGCGGAAAAAAAAAATCCGATTTTGCTTTCAAACCAGGGATGTGTAACCTGGCCAGGTTTTTCTTTGTTCAGACATATCGCTGGATGGTTTGGAAAAAGGGTGGGGGTTTTTCTTCCCCCCCCCTCCCTCCCTCAGCTAACGGAGTCCGCACGTACCGAGGGCGAATTCTGTAAATTATTGTATGTGTGCATTAAAAAAGGAAAAAAAAATGTCCAAGCTGACCTTAGGACAATTGGTCTCTGCCCCCTTTCTAAACCAAAACGCAGCAGTGGGGTGGGGTGGGGTGGGGTGGGGGCATCAAGAAATATCAAGATGGCGGCAACGGAGGAAGCCAGGGTTACATCGCGGGGAAAGGAGGAGAGGAGAGGTGGAGAGGGAAAGATAAGTCACAGAGAAAAGGGGAAAAAAAAGACTGGAGAGGGGAAAAGGAGAGGAAAGATGGGAGAAATTAGGAGGAAAACACCACCAAAGGGCAGCGGCCTGCAGCGAACCTGGCCTGCTGGGGGAAGCCCAGCTGCGCCGGAGAGGTCCACCCAAGAGACCGGAGGCCCATCGAAGTGAGTGTGGTGAGCGGAGAGGCGAACCGACTGCGGGCAGCAAAACGAACGGGCGGAATAGGATCTCCTGCCTGGGCAGGGGGTTGGACTAGATGACCTCCAAGGTCCCTTCCAACTCTGTTATTCTGTTCTGTTCTTTCTGTGCTGCTCTACTGTCTGTTCTATTCTATCCTATTCTATTCTATATTGTTATTTCTATTCCATTCCATTCCATTCTTCTATTCTACTCTACTCTACTCAATTCCATTCTATAATCTGGCTATGCTATGCTATGCTATACTATTTTCTATTCCATTTTCTATTCCATTCCATTTTCTCTTCTATGCTATGCTATGCTATGCTATTTTCTATTCTATTCTATTCTATTCTATTCTATTCTATTCTATTCTATTCTATTCTATTCTATTCTATTCTATTCTATTCATTCCTTATTCTATTCATTCCTTATTCTATTCTATTCTATTCTGTTCTGTTCTGTTCTGTTCTGTTCTATTCCATTCCATGATTCTATTCTATTCCATTCCATTCCATTTTCTCTTCTATGCTATGCTATGCTATTCTATTTTCTATTCCATTCCATATTCTATTCTATTCTATTCTATTCTGTTCCATTCCATGATTCTATTATATTCCATTCCATGATTCTATTGTATTCTATTGTATTCCATTCCATATTCTATTCTATTCTATTCTATTCTATTCTATTCTATTCTATTCTATTCTATTCTATTCTATTCCATTCCATTCCATTCCATTCCATTTGCTATTCTATGCTATGTTATGCTATTCTATGCTATTTTCTATTCTATTCCATTCCATTCTACAATCTGTTCTATTCTGGGTCTGAGAGCCAAAAAAAATGCCTTCTGCTTTTTTTCTGGGGAAAAAAATAGCAACGGTCTCACCCCTCCCTCTGTTGTGAACAGGAAAAAAAATACATATTTATTTTTTATTGCAGAAAATGCTGCAACGGGAGGAGGAGTGGGCTGGTGAGCGACTGCAAAAAAAAAAAAAAAGCCCGGCCAATGAGTCTTTTTTTTTTAAACTCAGGTTCGAAATGAATTGCGTCGTGTTAAGATTTATCTCCCTTTCATACAGGAGCCCAAGATGGCTTTTCTGCCCAGGTTTATTGTTTATTGTTAAGTGAACCATGCGGTCGCTAAGCGGATCTGGCTCCCCCCCCCCATTGACTTTGCTTGCCGGGAGCCGGTTGGGAAAGTTGCAAATGGTGATCATGTGACCCCGGGACGCTGCAACTGTCATAAGTACACGCCAGTTGCCAAGCGTCTGAATTTCGATCACGTGACCACAGGGGATGCTGCAACACATTTAAGGGTCAAAACCGGTCAAGTATCGGAGGAGGCTGGTGATAGTGAAGCAGACATAACTTCCAGGATGAACTGCAAACAACTTTTTTAGTCCTGATGGGTTCTTGATTTCTTTCTCAATTTCGTTGTTAACTTGGAAACGCGTCATGACCCAACTAGATAACCAAACTACAGCCAGTTTGGTCTAGCGGTTATGGCACCAGGCTGGAAAGTGGGAGACTATGAGTTCAAGACTGGCTTAGCAGAAAAGAAGGCTGGGTGACTTTGGGCCAATCACCAGGAGACGTGAGTTCTAGTCCCGCCTTAGGCATGAAAGCCCACTGGGTGACTTTGGGCCTATCCCCAGGAGACGGTGAGTTCTAGTCCCGCCTAAGGCATGAGAGCTGGCTGAGTGACTTTGGGCCAATCACCAGGAGACGTGAGTTCTAGTCCTGCCTTAGCCATGAAAGCCGGCTGGGTGACTTTGGGCCAATCACCAGGAGACGTGAGTTCTAGTCCCGCCTTAGGCATGAAAGCAGGCTGGGTGACTTTGGGCCAATCACCAGGAGACGGTGAGTTCTAGTCCCGCTTTAGGCATGAAAGCAGGCTGGGTGACTGGGCCAATCACCAGGAGACGGTGAGTTCTAGTCCTGCCTAAGGCATGAAAGCCAGCTGGGTGACTTTGGGCCAATCCCCAGGAGATGGTGAGTTCTAGTCTCAATTTAGGCATGAAAGCAACTGGGTGACTTTGGGCCAGTCATTCTCTCTCAGCCCAACCCACCTCAGAGGGTTCTTGTGGGGAAAACAGGAGGAGGAGGAAGGTCTGTTGGGATTTGCAGAGTGGACGAAGAGGAGGAGGAGGAGGAGAAGGAGAAGGATAATTATGGGATCCTTGGTGCTATCTAAGCTTGCTGGTTTTCTTACAAACTTTTCATCGCCAAACTAGAGAACATCATCAGTGCTTTTTTTAGTCCATGGTGACTTCGGCCATTATGCAACCGGTCATAAACCAGGGGCTACCTCTTATCATTGGACAGCATCCCTACACCGCAGCTCAATTCGGTTGAGATCGGTTGCAGAAGCCGAAAACTGTCCGGTGGGTCAGCTTTTCAAGCCTCCAGGCAGTTGTGGAGACTCACAAAGGCGGCACCACAGGTCCCCAGTACCCCTTGTGTGTGCCACCTTCCTCGTAAAAGACCCAGAAACCCATCCAGGGCTGCTCTTTCCCATCTGCCTCTTTTGAAGGGCTTGTTTGCGTTCTTTTCCTAAGCCAACTCAAAAGCCAGCATCCCACCGCAAAAGTGTGGGCTGCGTACAACGTGTACCTTTTTCTTAGGCGCCTCCTGCTTTTATTCCCTTTCCCTGGAAAAGGTCTTTTTTGACGGCTGGAGATTAAAACAAAATAAAATAAAAGCGGTTGTCCCCTCTGTACCACGAACCTCACAATGGATATAATTGATATTCAGGTAGTCGTGTCAGCCATACGCTGCTGCTCGGCGTGGGCTTGAAGCAGAGAGAGGACTCACGCTGCGCTTTCAGCTTTGCGGCTCTGGGATTGTGTTATTCCTGCTGATGAGGAAAAATGCAAGCTTTAATTTTACTCTGCCTGTGTGCTGTTTTTCTACACCAAGGGGGATGTGTCGTATCCATAAAGCAACGGATGGAAACTAACCAAGGAGAGAAGAAGCAACCTAGAACTAAGGAGTAATTTCCTGACAGAACAATTAATCAGTGGAACTGCTTCCCTCTGGATGTTGTGGGTTCTCCAACACTGGAAGTTTTTAACAAGAGATTGGACTAGGGATGCCAGGTCTGCTTCCAAAAAATAGCGGACAAGCGGGGGGGGGTGTGTTTAAGTAGTAAAAAAAGTAGACTGTACAGCTTTAGATTACGTACCATTTCATCATAAAGCTTTTGAATAAAAAAAATGTCCACTATTTTGTGA